TCCCCATCCCTGCCTGCACTGGGGTCCCTCCCACACCCCCAGCCCCACATCCAGCAGCATCATCCCAAGAGCACCCAGCTGCTCCCACGAGGCATCACCTGCCATCCCAGGTCCCTGCTGTGCCCCACGTCCCCAGCCCTGCTGGGGACAGGCCTGGTGGCCCTGGGGCAGCGCTGGTGGGGTGACCCCATCCCTCGGTCCCACCCCCCAGCCCCAGTGCCTGTGCAGGCAGGGACTGAGCGCCTCTTGGAGCCCAAACGCTGGGTTTCTGGTGAAATCCTGCAGCAGTGTTGCCGTGACGACCCTCCTGCAGTTTCCATCCAGAGATGTTTTCCTTTGTTGTGACAGGGACACGGGGAGCGGCCGCCGGGGTGCGATGACGATGGTGGGGGGCTCCCGCCGCGAGGGGCAGGGACCACCAGAGCCCACAGGGGGGACCCAGCGGGGCTCCAGCGCCACAGCAGGACTGGAGGGGGGGTCCCCACGGCTCCAGCACTGCCTTGGCTTGGCCCCAGTCACCCAGGGGACAGCGGAGGGGCCCAGAGCCGGGTGACACGAGTGTGAGCGGTCTCAGCCAGCTTTGCTCCCACCAAGAGCCGCAGCAGAGGGGAGACGTGTCCAAGGCGCAGGGTGGGGGCACTGCAGGGTCCTGGCAGGGGTGCAGGGGTTGGGTCCGTGCGAGTGGGTGCTCCACACCCTGGTGTCCCCAGGATAGAGCCGGTTTGGGGTTGGGGGGTGGACCGGGAGCCTCCCGAGCTGCCCATGTTGGCAGCCGGGGTGGTGGTGCCGTGACTGGGGTGCTGAGCGGCACCACCGCTGCCATCCCAGGGGTGCTGAGCACCGGGGACCCCCCTCTGCAGCCCCCCCCACAGCCAGAGAGTGTCTGTGTGCTCCTCATCCTTGGGTGGGGGGGCCCGCAGCGGGGGGGACCCCCCGTCCCGCGCCCCGAGGAGCCGCTTGTTATTCCGCTCAGGTCCGAGGGCGGCTAATGAAGCCCGTTCCAGGAGAGCTGCCACATTCATCAGGACTGCAGCTCATTAACGAGGCCTCTGCCACCGCAGCTGGGGCCAGCGCTCGGGGCACTGGCACGGGGACAGGCAGCGGGCGGACGGACAGACGGACAGGCGGCTCCACGGCAGGGATGACCCGCAGCTGGGGCCTGGCCTGGCTGGGGTGCTGCTCTGGAGTTGGGCAGGACATCTCAGCCATGGATCAGCTCCAGAGAGGGGACAGGGTGAATCCCAGCACCGTGGATCCACTTCCACACTGCCCCCATCCCGTGGTTGCAGCTCGTTTGGGCTTCAGGCCAGGCCCAATCCATGGCACGAGCTGGGCACGGCAGCCCAGGGGCCGGGCTGGGGGCTGCAGAACCCCCCCATGGCGATGCAGGGATGCCGCCCTGCCCAGGCCCAACTTCCCTCCGAACCCACCAGCAGGATGCATTGATTTTATTTTCCGTTTCCATGGCAACTGCCTCCTTCCCTTCCCCCTTCCGGCAGCCGGACCCGCTCCTCACCCTCCGGCAGCACCCACCCCGCACCCGGGGGTGTGGGCTGGGACCCCTCCTGGGCATCCCCGGGGCAACAGGGCCACCAGCCCACCCTTGTGCCCTCTGCAGTGCCAGCGGGGGGTTTGGGGGCAGCAGGGCTGGTGTGGGATGGGAAGGACCCCAAGACAACCCCTCCCTGCCCCCAGCAATAATCAGCGGCAGGGCTGGCAGGACGCCGTGCTGGCTCATTAGCCAGGGCAGTAATTGTGTGTCCCCCCCCACCCCGGTGCAGGGACACCGAGCAGCATCTCCCGGTGGCAGAGCCAAGCTCGTTAATGGCAGGTCCCACCCTCACAGCTGCTCACACCCACGTGCCACATCTCCGGCACCCCCGGTGAGGGGACACCGGCACTGCAACAGCCCAGCCACGAGCCCCTGCCTTCACCCCTCGGGGCTAAAGGTCACTCTGTGCCTTAAAACCAGCGTTATAAGAACGTAATTACGGTTATATCCTGCACCAACCCCATTCCAGGGGCTCCCATCCGTCGCCAACCTGCCCGGCTCCTTCCCAGCACGGAGGTGCCACCACATTGTCGTTGAGCATCAATTACGAACCACACCGGGCTGTGCCAAATCCTCCTGTCCCCCCTCCCCGGGACCTCCCGACCCCCCCCCCTGCTCAGGGGGGTTCTATACACGATAAAGGCCCGTCCTGGAGAACAGGCAGAGCCCTGTGCCGGCCGCTGAATTCCGCCCGCGCCGCGTCCCCCGGCGATCCCCAGGGTTTTCACGGAAGTGGAATTCAATCGGCACAAGCAATTAATTAACGGCGAAGGGGCACAAGACCCGCTTCTTCTTCGGAAGTGGCTCCCGGGGCTGCTCAGCAAACCCCACACGCCGGCACCCGCCGCACAAAGGGCACCGGCACCCCCTTCCTGGGCCCGCCGGGAGCAGGGGGGCTGGAGCGGTGCCGGCGCCTGCACTGGCATCAGCCCATCCAGGAGCTCCTGGATAACTGGCCAAGGCCCCCCCGGCGGGCGGCGGAGGGCCGGGCTGGCCGGCAGCCGGCAGCCAGCGGCGATGCCAGGCCGGCACAGCCCGCGGGCAAGGGGCACGTTCCTCGACAGCCAGCGCGGGGCCCAGGCCGCAATCCCGCGGGATGTGCTGCCTCCCACCCCCCCCACAGGGCTGCAGGGGTCGGGGGGCACTGGGCTGAGAGGGGGAGGTTGCTGGGAAGGGCAGCGAGGGGTGGGGGGACGGTGGCACAGACGGCAGAGCTGTCTGTCCCCCGGTGCACAATTAGCCCGGGGGCAAATGAGGCTCCTGCGGTTTTTGACCCAATTTCTCCGGCGAAACTCGGCGGGGGAAGGAGGGGAGGAGGGAGGAGGGAGACGGAGCCCGGCACGCGTGTGCTGGTGTGTGTCACACGTGGGAGTGGGCAGGCTCGGGCACACACGTGTGTGCTCCCTGCAGGGATACAGGGATGAGCAGGATTGCTGTCCCTGTAAGGATTCTGGGATCTGCAGGGGTGTGCAGGGATTCAGGGATGTGCAGGGATTCAGGGATGCAGGGATATGCAGGGATGAGCAGGGATGCAGGATTCAGAGATGCAGGGATGTGCAGGGATTCGGGGATGCAGGGATGTGAAGGGATGCAGGGATGTGCAGGGATTCAGGGATGCAGGG